GCACAGATAATGTTCTGGAGTTCAAAGCACACCATGGCAGAGGGTGGAGTTCAAATTTCAATAAGAATCTGGAATGAATGACAATCATTGTTGGTTAAAAACCCACCTGGTTCACTCATCTCTCTCATTACTACTGTCTTACTGGGTCTGAGCTACATGTGAGTTCAGTGTGGTGCACTGCTTTCTGAAATAGCCTAACAAGCCATTCTGTTGCATCAACTACAGTCAGGCCCAGCACTTGGGACTAACGGCGTCTCACAGACTTGTCAGGCAGTTGCCTCTCATACTCTCAGAGTCATATCTATCACATGAGTATGTCCTGACAGACTGAGCAGAGGGTATGCAGTCAGCAGGGAGTTGCCATGGGAGGGCTCAACATTGACTCCAGCCCCCAGCATCGGGTCAAACATGCACAAGGAAATGTCTTGCCTCAGCTGATGAATCAGTACCCCTCCATGTTGAGCAGCATTTGCAGGAAGCACTATGAATGGCAAGGGCACAAAATGTACTCTGGGTGGGGGATTTCAATATCCCCCATCAAGAGTGGCTCAGCAGCAGTATTACTGATCGAGCTTGTTGGGTCCTAAAGGACATAGCTGCTAGACTGGGTCAGCGGCAGGTGGTGAGGGAACCAACAAGAGGGAAAAACAAACTCAACCTCATCCTTACCAATCTGCCAGCTGCAGATGTATTTGCCCATGACAGTATCGGTAAGAGTGACCATCGCACAGTCCTTGTGGAGAGAAATCTCGTCTTCACATCCATCATGGTGTTGTGTGGCACTATAACTGTGCTAATTGAGACCATAAGATATAGGAACAGAATTAGGCCATTATGCCCATCAAGTCTGCTCTGCCACTTGATCATGGCTGGTATGTTTCTCAATCCCATTCTTCTGCCTTCTCCCCACCACCCTCAATCCCCTTGCCAATCAAGAACATATCTATCTCTGTCTTAAATACACTCAAAGACTTGGCTTCCACAGCCTTCTGCAGCAATGAGTTCCACAAATTAACCACCCTCTGTCTAAAGAAATTCATCCTCATCTCAGTTCTAAAGGGTCATCCTTTCACTGGGAGGCTGTGCCCTCGGGGCCCAGTCTCTCCTGCTAGTGGAAGCATTATCTCCAAGGCCTCTCTATCTGGGCCTCTCAGTATCCTTTGAGTTTCAATCAGATCCTGCCACCACCACCTCCCCGCTCCCCGCACCCCCCCCACCACCTCATCCTGCTAGACTCCATCTAGTACAGACCCAGAATCCTCGACCACTCCTCATGTGACAAGCCCTTCACCCTTGGGATCATTCTTGGTAACCTGTGACAGATCTAGAACAGATCTAGGGATTCCTGAGGCGCTGTGGGCCATTGACAGCAGTAGGAGCACACTCACAACATAATCTATAACCTCATAGCCTGGCTTATCCCCTACTCTACCATTCTCATCAAGACAGGGGATCAAATGGAGTGGAGAGCAAGCCAGGAGCAGCACCAAGTATACCTGAAAATGAGGTGACAATCTGGTCAAGCCACCAAACAGGATTACTTGTGTGTCAAACAACAGAAGCAGCAAATGATAGATGGAGCTAAGCGATCCCACAACCAACGGATCAGATCTGAGTTCTGCAGTCCTGTCGCATCCAGCCGTGAATGGTGGTTGTCAATTAAACAACTCACTGCAGGAGGAGGCTCCCTAAATATCTCCATCCTCAATGTTGGAAGAGCCCACCAGATCAGTGGGCTTCAGCCAATTCGATTCATTCCAAATGTACACTACAAAGTCTATGGGCCCTGATAGCGTTCTGGCAATAGTACTGAAGACGTTGCTCTAGAATTTGCTGCTCCCCAGCCAAACTGTTCCAGTGCAGTTACAACACTGGTATCTACCCAGCAAGGGCTATTGCGAGGAAGTTGGTCTTACCAGTCTCCACTTCAGAAGAGGATTGATGTGACCAGTGTGGTTTTTTTTGTTCTACCTCGATTGGAGGTGAACAGAGAGGGCTGGCTGACTGAGTGACATGGTCGTTGGAGAGATAACTTGGAAGAACATGTGGACCAAGCTGTGTTTTGTGAAATAATGACAGGAAATTGAAAGAATCGGTCCACCTGGGAAAACTAGAGGCTGAGTACAGTTCTAGACAGTCTGTAAACAGTGGAATGCCTCCCACTACCTCCTCCACACTGTCCGAATCTCCAAATCTCATTTCTGTTTCACCCTCAAGTTCCCCCAATGGATTTGACCATTGCACTATTTGAACAGTAAATCCGGCTCTGGATAGCAGGAAGCTATGTCATGCAAACAGATTAACCTGGTCATTCATTCCAGATGGTTAGTTGACAGGATTACCCACCTGCCTATGATGGTGACATTGCTATAACTTGAGGTGGATAATGATGACAAATAATTTAACCCGTTCTTAATTCTTAATGTCCTTACTCTGCAGTGCTCAGTAACTCATCAATCCGCGTTTACACCAGTTAATCCCTCAATGTTTGATGAATAATTTGTAAAGACTCCACATACTAACATGGACCGAGTTGTGTTCACCGCTTATCCTCTGTGCTCAGGGACTCACATTGGCTGCTCATCCAACTGGGCCTCAATTTTAAACTCCTCATATACATGGTCTCCATGGTCTCACCTCCTCCAGGCCCTACACCCTTCCCTATCTCTGTCATCCCCTCTGTCCCCTAAAACCCTCCCTATCTCTGTAACCTCCTCCGGCCCCTACACCCCTCCCTATCTCTGTAACCTCCTCCAGCCCCTACACCCCTCCCTATCTCTGTCACCTCCTCCGGCCCCTACACCCCCTCCCTATCTCTGTAACCTGCTCCGGCTCCTACACCCCTCCTTATCTCAGTCACCTCCTCCAGCTCCTACACCCTCCCTATCTCTGTCACCTCCTCCAGCCTCCTCGCCCCTCCTTATCTCTGTCACCTCTTCCGTCTCCGGCACCCCTCCCTTTCTCTGTCACCTCCTCCAGCTCCTACACCCCTCCCTATCTCTGTCACCTCCTCCAGCCCCTACACCCCTCCCTATCTCTGTCACCCCCTCCAGCCCCTACACCCCCTCCCTTTCTCTGTCACCTCCTCCAGCTCCTACACCCCGCCCTATCTCTGTCACCTCCTCCAGCCCCTACACCCCTCCCTATCTCTGTAACCTCCTCCAGCTCCTACACTTCTCCGTATCTCTATAATCTCCTCCAGCCCCTACACCCCCTCCCTATCTCTGTAACCCCCT